CAAGCCATAATCATCACAATTATGAAAAATCACAGCTTTAACTATCTTGCTTCGCATGTAATGAGGAATCTCATATATTAGTTTCACCTTTTAAGTTGCGTTACTGAAATAAATGAACTTTTGCAGAATATTCTAATTTTTCGAGTTTCACCTGTATATTGCACATCAGCCAAAAAAAAAAATCTGTTCTTTCAAGACAAAATTATCTTGGATTCTTGGCAAGTAGCATAACTGTTGTAACAAAAGAACCTGTGAATTGTCTAATTGAGCAAAACTTCCTGCAATCATTTATTTATTTATTTTGCAATGGGAGTGGGGGCTTAGGTATTCGGTCTAACCTGAATAGAACAAATATGAAGACCTGAGACTGAACTGCAGGATTATAAATTAATTATCATAGGGGTTATTTATTTATTTCATATCACCTATTCAAAAAGCTGAGAAACAGTTTTTCCTCTGCCTGAAGTCTCTTTATTATTCTCCCTTTTTTCTCCCAGCCAATACCTCACTAGTTTTGTGCCGATCTGATGTCTGAGTTCTTGTCTCTCCTCTTCAGATGTTCTCGGTAAGATGTTTTTATCTTCCAGTTCTTTTTTGGATGGCCTGTTGCCAAGTTTGATTGCAAGAGTATCCCTACGATGTATTTTAGTTGCTAAAGAGCCTAGATAGAGAATGAATTTTTTTAAAAAAATTAATCAATGCTCACACTTGTCAAGATTCAGCCACAATTTGGACATTCAGTACATGAATTTTCAAAAAAACATCTTTTTAGTTTTTTGTTCCTTTTTGTGGGACAATTTTAGTTCATATCAAAATCACTTTTCCTTTATAATATGTTGATGTCTTAGAACTCATCTGCCAACTAAGGTAGAATGAGAACATTCCATCTCCACCACCCCCCTCCCCAATTCTTATGAAATAATTTGATAGGAATATTCTAATTAGCAATCTGGAGGATAACAGATTGGAGAGGATGACCTTGAGTCAATGTTGACTCCTGGAGACCACCTGGATAAAGCCCTGCAGTTTTCTTGGCAATATTTCAGAAGTGGTTTGCTATTAGCTGCTTCCTAGGGCTGAGAGAGAGAGTGACTGGCCCAAGGTCACCCAGCTGGTTTAGTGCCTAAGACAGGAAGAGAACTCATGGCTTTCCAGTTTTTAGGCTGAATTTCTGCAGTTAGAAGCAGACGTGAACTTTGCTAGCTAGATCAGACTCTGGCCCACAGGGTTGGTCTGGAAATAGCAAAGGACTGGCCCGTGGTGCCTCTGACAGTCAAAATGCGGTGCGGGGGGGGGCACATGTGCACCCCCTGCACCCTATTTTGGTCGGCAGAGTGCTGGAGGCCATCCAGGCCGAAAGAGTCCCCTTTTATCCTGTTTTGTCTGGCAGCATGCTGCAAGAGGCCATCCAGGCTGCAAGCAAGGGCACCCCATGCTCCATTTTGGCCTCCAGCATGCTGCAGGGGGCATCCGTCCCTTCTCCCCTCCCTCCGGCCAGCAGGCAGAGAACTACAATGCTGATCCGGCCCTCAAAGAAATCCAGTTTTGCACTCCTGAGCTAGATTATTAGGAGAAAGGGGCAGCTTTATCTTTCAGCTCAACATAAATTCCTATTTCCTTTAATACATAAATATTAAAGTTTAAAATTAAGGTATTAGTATACATTTTCTTTTTATCTTTGCTCTCAAAGAAATAAGCTACTGTGATTAACGTGGCTAGGAGTGTAAGAATGTCCTTTGAATAAAGGAGTTTCTTACATTCCTAGCTACGTTAATCACAGCAACCAAAGGTGGTGGCTTTACTAGCCCTACATGGAGATGCGACTCATTAAATTAAAACCTTTTATGTACATCTAAAATATGAAACTGCAGCATTTGTGGGATAATCATAGTGTGAATGAGACCAATTTTCAGCCTTTGATGCTAAGTGATTCCATCTTCGTGGATGGAGATTCCAAAGGAGGGAAGCAGAATATATACAAAACACATGTCAAATAATAAGGCTTGCAAATATGCATTGTGCCCCAAGAAATACATTCAATATATAAACTTGTGAGTTCACATATTTCCCTATTCGCTTATTAAGGACAACAGCAAGAACTTGGATCAAACTCTCCAATAGGGACATTCCAACCCTAGATCAAGTATGTAGCGTCTGTTGCCAATGCAGAAATGAGAAGTCGCTTTCCAATGAAGGCAGCAAGTTGATTGGCAACCTCCATTTAGAAATCCCTCTATATGTTTTGGTTCAGAAGTAAAAGAAATCACACAGCATGTATTATTTCTTTGTTTAAAATGGCAATAGTTGCTTATCCAGTCCTCTTACTTTCACTGCTTGCATCTTCATCATCATCTTCATCATCATCTGTATAAAGTATAGGCCCATCTGAATCAGAGTCACTGGTATGATTATTTTTGCTGTTTCCAATTTCTGGATTTTCTTCAGAAGTTTCAGAAAGTTCATCTGTCAGAAGAGGACTAGTTTGCTCAGGGATTTCTTTTTCCTGATCTTCTTTGATAGCAGAATTACTAGAAAAACAAATACAGAAGATCAATCATACATGAAATATAACCACCCAGGAAAAATATGAAAGAGAATAATTTATGATTTATAAATAGCATAAATCAAGCTATAAGACTTAAAACTATGCTCCCCACAAACTCAACAAGTTTTAATTTTTCCCATACTCTGGCATATCAATATTTTTACTAGTTTTAGGAATTTTATTTTAAATCCAATGCTTAAAATTAAAAGCTTATTTTAAAAAAACAGTCTTCCATTTATGAACAGAAGGCAAATTTCTAACTTTCACAATGATATAGATGAATTAAGAAAATAAAAATAAATTCATAAATCAGTCATATATAATATTAAGCATATGTCTGACCGGCTTTAAGCTCATATAAAGCAACCTTCCTCCATGTGGTGATTTTCAGGTGGGCCATTTCATTTTTGATCTAGTCAGTATGGCCTTTGACCATACTTGCTAAGAATCTTGGGAGTTGTAGTATAATACATCTGGAGAATACTTGATTAGATAAGGCTGATGAAAAATCATTCCTGAAATTTTAAAGTAATTTAGAATCAGTAGTACTGCCAAGAGCAAATGGGCTACAGAAAAATTAATTCCAACTGCTGCCACTTTTTTAGTGCTATTGCAATTTTCATGTTTTTATTTTTATTGTGGCCCCTTAGCAATGGCAGAAGTACTTAGACTTGTGTATCACTTCATAGTGCTTTACAGCCCTCTCTAAGTGGTTTACAGAATTAGCATATTGCCCCCTACAATCTGGGCTCTGATTTTACCGACCTCAGAAGGATGGAAGACTGAATTAACTTTGATCCGATCAGGATGTTCAATGTTGAATTGTTCAGTGGCTTACATAATTTTATTACCTTCCATCAATTCTTACAGACTACTAAAGTGCTCATTTGAAATATTCAGCAAGATATAGATATACATACTGTAAACTGTCTTTTTAAGAAATGCACACTTTTCCCAATTTATGTTATCAGCCAACATAATCCCTTTTCTCTGTTTTACATCCAACTCACTACAACTTTCCTTCTTCATAATCTTTATCCACTCTCCCTTAGGTAAATATTTTTCCTCATATGGAACTTCCTTGATGCTGGTCTTAGATAGACAATTATTGAGGTATAACATACAAACAAATGAAGAAAAGTTGCTTTTAATAGGCATAATAACCCTGCCACTGTAACAAAAATGGTACTTTCTAAACTGGTTCTGTAAATGACCAGGGCGGGGCTGAATTCATTTTAATTCTTCCTTTGATGCTTCACAAATGGGCTTGTTATTTATTTCCATTAGCTTTCTTTTCAACCTGCTGCCCTATTTTCAATAAACAGAATGCTAAGCTGGATTCCACTTAGTACCTGCCTTTTTAATAGTCGCTGAGAGTGCCATTTCAGCACAGGCTTTGACAGCTATTCTGTCAAGATTTCCAAGCAAGCATCTCCAAAAGAGCTGTGCATTTGAAATTTAAGCTGTAACTTTGAAAAATTTTTGACCTTTAAATGGAATCCAATCAGTCCAACCAAGCCATTTTAATTTTCTTTTCCTCGTCTGCTTAGAAGTATGAAAATAGAATTGAAAGTATTAATTGAATTATATTTATTTGTATCTTCCTGTTTTGATACATGTTCAAATTCAAAATCAAGGTATACAAAAGCCTACCTGAGTTGTTCCACCCTCTTCCCAAATGCATGGGTATCCCAGAATTACAGAACTAACTGAAAACATGTAGCCTTACCATTCTGTGTCTTCTCCCCCAATCTCCGGGCTATGGTCTAAGACAGCATTGCTTGAAGCGCTTTCAGTGTCTGCTTCAGTTTTTATATGAAGATCGTTTAAATGTGTGCCAGGCACAGATGGGCCTGCTTCAATACTAACTGGCACATGTTCTGTGCCTGAGAAGCCAGCAGGCTCACAGCCTGGAGACAAAGTTGGGACGGATGGAGGAAGAGGAGCTGGAACAGCAGGAGGATGGGGAGGAACAATCACAGTGCTGTTCTGGGTTGTGTCCCCAGCTTCAGGGATAATATGGAGAGATTCTTCTGATTTAAAGAGTTCCACTTTGGTCTTCGAATTCTCTACTGTCGTGTTGGAGGCAGAAGTGATGTCCCCATCAGATGGTGTTCGTGTCGTTACCTGTTTCCCATGTTTCTTCTTATCCCTGGGAGTCCCTGTGCTGCTTTTGCTTGTGGTTGGTTCTTTAGAAGGTTTAGAGTGAGATGATGTGGAAGAATGAGATGATGATTTGGAAACATGTCCTTTCTTTAAATTAGAGGAAATAGCTGAAACGAGAGGGCATACTTTTTTGTCCTAACAGAAGGTTTGCATTAACCTACCTTGTATTGCTAGGAAGGCTTTCATCCTTAATACAGTGGTACCTTGGTACTCATTGTTAATTGGTTCTGTGAGGGGCTATGAGTACCAAAAATGATGAGTATCAAACAAATTTTTCCCCATAAGAAATAATGTAGTGAATCACAAGGCAGCCGACAATGACTAGTTCTAGCTTACCTGTTGACCAAACAAACGATGAGTACTGGGACAAATTTTTCACATAAAAATGTCTTGAGTACCATATTTGATGAGTTTCAAAGCAGCTAAGTACCAAGGTACCACTGTAATGGAAAGCCTGAAGGTAAATAAATGGTACTTACAACACTTATGTAGAAGTATATAAATAATTACATATTAGCATAAGTAAGTAATGTAATAGCAACGCTCTTCCCCTCTACTTACCCTGGAATATGATTTTTTTTTCTGGCCATTGTCTTATGGACTAAAGCATGAATGATGAGCTTTAGGCACTACTGGGCCATCAGGACCAATCAGGATTCTTAATTACTTAACATTACAATAAGTTTTAAATTATAAACATGAAGAAACTAATCACAATTCATATAGCAGGGTGTCAAACTCAAGGCTCAGGAGCTGGATCTGGCATACAGAGTGCTTAGATCTGGCCCGTGGGGTCACCCTGGAAACAGCGAAGGACTGGCCTGTGGTGCCTTTGCCAGTGAAAACGAAGCTCAGGAGGGGCACAGGCAGGCCTCCCAAGCTCTGTTTTTACTGGCAGAGAGTTGCAGGAGGCCGTTGCAGCCACAAACAGAATTTGGGAGCCTGTTTCCGCTGGCAAAACGCTTGGGCCACCACAGGCACTTCTGATACAAGTGACGTTGAGCTGGCCACACCCATCCTGGCCCTCCAAGGTCAACACAACCCTGATGAGGGCCTCAATGAAATCAAGTTTGACAACCCTGTAATATAGGAAGGGCATGTTCTCCCAACAAACATTTTTGGGGGAAGGGTTGTGAAGCTTTGGTGTACATATGCATAGTTATGACCTGGTGACATTATAATTCAAGATACATTTAAAATTTTAAAGAGCCTATTGATTTGGGTTGTTGCTTAACTTGGTAAAAGGACCAAGTATTTTTTTTTAAAAATAGCCTGCAACAGCTCTATGCGCAAGCAAAAAACATCAGTAAAGAACAACATGGTTGCTTTTGCTGAGCTTGCATTTGGCAGGCTGGTTGGAAAAATAAAGCAAATCTGTTGTTTGTTTTTGCTAAATAAGTGGAATGTCAATGACTACAGAAGAATTGGCAAAGTGGTTTTTTTAAAAAAAAAATCTGAACAATAAAGTAATCTATAAGGCAATATGTGGTAATTCAAAGGAATGTGAAAGAGGTATGTTTCTGCCCTTTAATCTAATACAGATCTCTATTTGTTTTCTTGGTTAATGGACTGGAGATAATTTTTTGATTACAGATTTTTTTTTAAAAAAAA